CATTTGGACTGTTGATCTAATGAAGAAGTATACAAACTGGAAGCAAATACTTCGATCCGCAACTCATTTTATTCAGCTTGAAGAGGTAACAAGACAAAAATAAGGTCTGAGATATATGTTTAATTCAAAGGTCAGTATCTTATAATTAGTTATATAATTATTTAAATATAGTAACTTTTAATGATTTTATTAGTTTTAAATAATTTAAAATATTTTATTTTATTTTTATGAAAATATAGGAATTTAAATATTCAAAATGGGGAAAACAAAAAAAAAGACTTGCTTATGAAGCCAAAAAGATTATTTTGGGAATTTATTTTTTTGGAAAAAGGCAAATGACCATATAAAAGTTTATGAGTCCCTATTGAAAATATTGAGACTTTTGGATAATGATGAAAAACCAACAATGGGCTTTATTTATGAGACTGTTGATAGAGCTAAACAAGCATTCAACAAGATTGTCGATATTTTATTGAGTACGAAAAAATTACTGACAATAGATTGAATTTTATGCATTCTAACTTGCATTCAGCTGGTAAGATAAAATGTTTCATATAATTAGAATTATCTTTATATTTTATTATTTTGTTATAGATAGAATTTTATTATAGTAAGCTTTAGATTATTATTATTTAATGATATTTTTATAAATTATGCTTAGGATATTTTCTCATCTCTCAATTTCAATTTGGGTGGAACACTCTAAGAATGTATTTATAGAGACATTAGAAGGTACACGATCGATAATTGAAAGATTAGAACCTTCTATTGATACTCAAGTCATGATGGTTAATCAGGTTAGATTCAAATATTATTATTTGTAACTTAATTACATAATTTGAAAATGTTTTTTTTAGTTTTTACTCTATCTTTTATTTATGCCGTTGTTACTATTTGGAGATAAACATGAGACATTCGGTACTCCACTTGGAGATAAATGAATCCAGATAAATAGTTAACTAAATTATTTAATTTATATTATTTAGTTATATTGTACATTTTTAAGTTATTTTGAAATTTAAATATTATTTTGCAACTGAGTGGTGGATAATATATGACACATGTGTTCCTAAGTTACAAAGATTAGCAATTTAAGTGCTAAGTCAAACAAATTCTGCATCAAATTACAAACAAAATTGGAACACATTTATCTATATTCACACCAAGGCAAGAAACAAGAAGTATAAAAGACTTGAGAAACTAGAATTCACCTATTATAATATGAGGCTCCATATAAGACATCAGAAAATAATGAGCATCGATGATATAAACACTAGTTTTAATCCTATCAACCTTGATCATATCTTTGAAGATGTTGATCCATTATCAGATTGGCTTTGAGAGAAAGAGAATTCATTGTTAGATGGTGAAATTGTCGGTGTCTTGCCTATGGATACCTCAAATGATGAAATGAATGTTGATGAATCTCAACAACAAAATATATCTCATTCAAGTTCTTGTTCAACATCGAGTCAAAGTGGTGATGGAATTCATGGTGGTGGTTTAAGTCCAGTTGATGATGATGATAATGATGATGATAGTAGTGGTTGTGGTAGAGATGAAATTAGATCTTCTAGTCGATATGGAAGAGAATATGGGTTGGTACCACTAGTGGACATTTTCGTGATAGATCAGAATTTGGTGGAAATATATCTCCGGAATCTAGAAGAGATAGAAGTGAACTTAAAGATCCATCAAGAGGAAAAGGTAAGAAGCATACTTCAGAAGGCTCTTCATCTGGTAGAAGATCAAGTTCTAGTAACCTTGGGTAGAGAGATTCATCTACTAACACTCAAGGACCTTTACACAGTCCTTCACATGGTTTTTATCCACCGAAACATTCTTCATATTTCCAACATTCACATGGTTATCCACAACTATATGGCTACTATCTATCATTTTCTAATTATGGTGTGCCATATTAACCTCAAATGCACTATCCGCCACCAATGTATCACCCACCTCCACCTCTCATGTATCCTCCTCCTCAGATATATCATCCACATCAATTATATGGAAATCAAGGTGAAAATGTTACTTTTTTGGATATATTTTTGGGCAAAGGCCACAAGAATCAAGTCAAGAAGGCTCTCAAAATGAAGGTGAAGGATATAAACCTCCTCGTTATTCCACTAACTGGTGAAAATTAAATTATTCCTCTACCACTTTTTGTAAGGTATGTTTTTTAAATACTTTTTTAATCAATGTTTTTAATTTTAATGATATTAAAACATTTCTATCTTCCTTATCAATTTAGTGTTTAACGTATTATTGTCATTGTTGCAGTGAAATTGAATTTTCTCATATTTGTTCTCAAATTATTATGCTTCAATGAGTACAAAACCAAGTTGATTCTATGCATTTCATTGAGGTAATCTCACTCAACTTTCCAAATGTATCCAAAGACCGGTAAATAATTTGTTCTTTTGTAGTTTTAAGATTTCAATAAACATTTATTTCTTTAATAACATCCAATGGTTGCTTTGAAAACTTTGTGCAACTCCCACTCCATGTTGAACTAATTTTAAAAATGGCATTCACGTATTAATATAAGATTATATAGGTTATAAAACTCTCTAAAAATCATTAAAAGTAATTTTTTATAATTATAATTATAATTATTATATTTTATGATAAGTTGTGCGAATTTTAAAAAAATTCACGTCCGTGATACCCGCAGTGACCGCGATAGCATCCGTTACGTCCGCGACTGCGATAAACGCAATACGACCGAAAACACGGCCGCGGCCGCGATTTGAATCCCTACATGGAACCACCGTTCAATGTCAAGGGCAAGGATTCGGTGAACGGTCTCCACGTCTCGAGTGTTTAGGGCATCGTAGAGGGCAAGAACCACGTCTTGGTTCTTGTTGGTTTCATCCCTAGTGTTAGCCAGTTCTTAATGCAAAACAAGAGATTTTATGTTTTTCGAGAGAGTTGTAGGAAAATTTGTAGCTAAGACCAGAAATAATATACACCGGTGAGGTCTTGTGAGGGGATGATGCGTGGTTTATATAAAGAGACTCCTCAGTTGGCTGTGATTCTCTACATTCATTCTCTTTGTCAACCTGGAGTTTTTACTTTTCTTTAGCTGTTCTGATAAAATTATCAAGGTGCTTCGGTTACATGGCAGGATCACAGTGATGGGGTGGTCCCAATGGTGATGAATGATCGGTTTCCTTCCTACGTCATTAGGTGTGGGTGAGCAATTATGAAATTCCGTTCAAGCTAGCTCGTTTCAATTCCATTTAAATTGCAGAATTTCCTAATAGTGCGTTTTTTAGTTATGGGTTTACTCCATTCAAAAACTTTATCAACTCATTAATTATAAACTAATAAAATTAACAAATTTTTAGGCAGTGCTAATACATATTATATAAACTAAAAAATAATCCTAAAATATCAACTCTAAGGTGACAAGCAGGTGAGCTGCTTACATGGTGATAGAACTAGGTGGTGTGTTCACTTATTAGTGAAATGGCAAGGCTTGTTTGCCTGTTGCTTCATCATCTTGGACGCGATATGTTTATGTGAAATGGATATAATTTGATATAAAAATCATCAAAAACACAAGAATTGATTGAATATGTTACAATGATGAAAACGCGATTATCATTATTGCAATAATAAGACCCCTCATGGTCCACAAGCTGTCAAAGTTTTCAAATGGTCCTTCCAACCCAAATCACATTCCCAAAACAGGATTAATCAAGTACCCAAATATGGTCATTTTTATCCAAACCACATTCCCATAGACATGATAAAGGTTGAAAACTTGGAAAAAGAACAGTCCAATGCCCAAACAGCTTTACTAACTAGTGGCTACCACGGAAGTTAAATTGACAGGTGCCCAAATTGAGCATTTGGAGGCTTAGCTGGATATGCTTAAATTTCAGAAATTAATTCAGGGAGATCTTACCAATAATCCATTGGTCTAGTACGATGATGCAATAGATCTCTTACATAAGATTAGAGGTTCAAATCTTCACGTTATAAATGGAGAAAATTGGGTTAATAATATTTGATCTGAATTAATCAATCAATAGATTGAAAACCAGTAAAATCTTGCTAGGAAGGGATCATGTTCATAGAACTTGCCGTCGTTATGTTATTGGTCTGGCAATAGTTTGTTTTGGTTAAGAAACCAAATAACGAATTATGTTTGAATTTGTATTTTTTATACTGATTGATTCGTATTAGAGGTAACAAAGATCCCCGGCCATTCATCTACTTCTTTTTAAGCAATTGTATTTCATTTCAACCATTGAACACTAAAATAGAAAGGGACAATGAACGAACTATTGAATGAACATAAGCTTTTTCAAGACGTTTGAGGCCATTTTATTTTTTTCCTCAAAGGACAAAAGAAGTTAGGATTAACGGCTTTTCGAGGTGCTTGGAGACCGAGAGTGTTACACTCGTTATTTAATTGGAAAACTAGGGTTTCAATGGCCACTTTCATGTATAAATTTACTACCACCAGCAAACTTAACATTGATGATATAATCTATGTTGTCAAATTATGCCACCGACCATTTTTACGCAAAATGTGGCCTTCGATCCTTTTTGAGAGAAGAAAGAAAGCGAAAGGTAAATGTCAAATGACTCCAAACTCAAACCTAAATTTAATGTCGGCTTCTAATATTCTTTACATATATAATATTGTTTCACTTAATCATAAAACTGTTCCACTTAGGTCACAGAGCAACAAAAAGAATTAATAATATTATCATATATCAATGGAACCTCCTACACGTACAACATGCTATGCTGATTTCAGATGTCAACTGTATGACTTTAACCTTAGATTCTTATAACATTTTAGTTCCTACAAAAATGTTACTCGATTTTGTTGTATACAGGGATGAAACTAAACAGGGTCTCGAAAGATCATTTATGAGATTTTGGTGGTTTTTGGGCCAACTAAAATATTAGACCCCTAATCAAAGATTTAAACTATACTTTGTATTTGTATCTCCAACTATGTTCCGTTTATGATATTATGGTCAATGTAAGTATCGTAGTCGTGAGTTTTTAATAAATATACTATTGTGGACACTAATCTCTGGAACTGAGAAACCGGACGAACATCGAATCCTTTTCACCATGAGGAGCAAAGGTAAGAAAGCTCCACATTTTTCTGATATTTTCGTTGATTTTTTTTATTGAGATGTCTGAAGGGTTTTGTTCTCTCTCTTTCTTTTGTTTAGCGCATGAGGCGTTTGAAGAGGAAGAGAAGAAAGATGAGACAAAGATATAAGTGGTATAATTTTCTTTAGACTTAGCAATCAGATCTCTCTCTGTATTCAGATGACACATTTGTTTGATGGGTACTTTGTTTTGTTGAAGGATTTAAGTTCATCGTAATATTTTCTTGGTTTAGTTCTGCATTTTGTGTTGAAACTTGGCTTCTTCATCACTTGAACAATGTTACCGACTTTTTAGCTATATACTTATCCCTTTCGTCTTTATCTTTCTGATTGGTAAGTACTTTAGAATATCATCTCTATCAACAAAGAGGGCCAAGTCTCCCAATTCATTTTTACGAGCCATCTCATTTTTTTTGGTTGAAAAAGGTAAATCGGCCGCCTAGCTTCCCATTTTATCCACTAGCAGCATATCCTCAGCTTCTTTAGGGCATTCTTCCAGAAAATTGAATTCTTCATGGTGTTTCCACATCTGTTTGACGACGAAATCGGCGACTCGATTGGCCTCTCTAGGTACGTGAAGCAGTTCTACAAGCCAGTTCTTCTTAAGCATTTTCTCAATATGTTGTAGAATGGTAAATTTCCTGTGTGTGCTCGATCTATTCTTTATTAGCTTGGTAGCTTCACTGTTTTCTGTTTCTAAAATCACGCTCCTCTCTCCCCTCAACCAAGCGATTCGTAATCCCTCATGGATTCCCCATAACTCTACTTCTAAAATAGAGCAGATCCCTATCTTTTTCCCAAAACCCCACCGCCAATTACCATTGTAGTCCCTTGCAACAACCCCACACATAGCTTCTCCATTGATATGTCTTTTGGTTCCATATGTGTTTATTTTGCAGTAATTGATTGTTGGTTTTTGCCATTTGCATCGAGCATTATCTCTGATCTGTATACTTCCAGCATTTGTAGTCTTAAAATTCTGCAAATCTTGGGTCAGTCTACTAGCTCGTTGGATAATCGAATCCCTTCAATCATCTCAGGATCGAAAATCAATTGATTTCTTCTCTTCCATATGTACTAGATTACTGAGCTGAAAAAACTTGGCCAATCCGCGATTCTTGGCGACGGGGACTGAGTTTTTTCAAGGTTTTCAATGATCCAGTCCTTGAGGTTGCAGTTTAGAAACCTGTCTATCTTCTGGGGGTCGATCAGGTCAGTCCATATTGCCATTGAATTAGGGCAGTATCTCAGCAAGTGATTAATATCTTCAACTTCATACTTGCACATAGGGCAACTTGCATCCATAGTCATATGTCTTCAAGATCTTTCCGAGTTAGTCAGAATTCTATTCTTCCAATTAGCCAAAGGAAAGTTTTGACTCTGGGAATGTTTTTGTGCTTTGCTATGATGCCCCAAATCTTATCTTCCATATCATTATTAATATTTGCAATCCACTTATATGCAGATTTGACTGTGAAGACCCTATTCTCCGAGGGAATCCATCCCAGGGAATCTTCAATGTTCTCATCCACTGGAGGGGGGTGGCTTTCAGCATATTAATGGCTTGAGACTACAGCAACAACGTAAGTTTGTTCCAATCCTAGTTTCCATTTTGGTTAATCAATTCTTTTACTTTTGACTTGTCATTTTCCACCTTCAACGGCTGGTTGCAGAATCTAGACAGAGGGCCATTATGATCAATCCATATGTCATGCCAGAAGCTAATATGATTACCATTTCCATCATTCCAACAAATGTTTTGCTTGAATTTAGTCCACAAGGAGCATATGTGATTCCATAAAGGTGATCCTCCCCTTTTTTGAAGCTCTTAAGGTAGAATTTCTTTCATTTTGTATTTGCCTCTCATTACCTGCACCCATAAAAGATCAGTTTGGTTAGTAAGTTTGTAAGCTATTTTAAAAGTGAATGCCTCATTTTGGAATCTAAGGTTTTTTAATCCTTCTCCTTTAATAGGTTTACAAAGGGAGTCCCAGTTCACAAGGTGTACTCCCTTTTGCTCATTCAAATCTCCCCAAATGAAATTTTTTGTAAGTCTTTCAAGCTCATTGCAAGTTCCTTTGGGGATTAAAATTGATTGCATGGTGTATGCAGGGATCGAGTTGAGAACAGCCTTGGCAAGAATGATTCTTCCAGCTAGTGATAAAGAGTTAGCTTTCCACCCTGTCAATTTGTCCTTCACTCTTTGGGTGATGTTGCTGTATGTTCGTTTATTAATTCTGTTGTGCAGCAGGGGAACTCCCAGGTAATTTCCAAGGTTCTCACATGGTTATGGGTACGTAATGGATGTTGGAAAAGGTAAAAAAACCAACTGCATATATTTATGTATGCCTAAAGACAGATCGATACAGTAAAGCTCTCTTTCTGGGTTTTCAATATTTTTTACTCTTATAAATTACATTCAAAATTTATATTTTCTACTTTTTCCACGCCATTTTTCTCTTTTTTTCTAGAGCTAGACACTGCTTTAAGAAAAATGAAACTCAAACGAAAAAGGAAAAAAACTAATATGGTCAAGTGTTTGTATCAGCCATTAATGATTCAATGTAACTCTTAACCTCTTCTTTGATCATCCGCCGCATGATCGTCAACACGCAAGCCTCGTCAATCGTCACCATTCTTTTCTCAGCCACCTCTACTATTGCAGTTTCTCTCTCCTTATCCTCCCCTTTTTCCTCCAGCTCTTCTGATGCGAAGCCGTCACTTGGTGGAGACAGCGTCAACTGCATATTGGGCACCACCGGTCCTGCAGTCTCGTGCTCGTGCGACACCCTTTCCAAGCACTGTTTCTTGTTCCCTGAATACGACCGGGATGCATCTCGGCTTGATTTCGACTTGGACGATCCTGATGAACTCCTCTCTGTTTCCTGTCTCCGACATAAGTTTGAGTTCCAACGGTTTTTTATAGCATTATCGGTACGTCCAGGCAATAGCTTAGCGATGGTGGCCCATTTATTCCCATGAATAGCGTGTGCTTTGACGATAATAGCATCCTCAGCAGGGTGAAAGAGACGGTGCTGCACGGCAGGGTTGACTTGGTTGTGCCACCGTAGGCGGCAAGACTTGCTTGATCTTCCAGGAATTCCGGCGCTTATAATAGGCCAGTTCTTTGGGCCATGCTGTTCCACTAGCTTGATAAGGTTAGCGTCTTCTTTGGGGCTCCATGTATTCCTCAGTCGACCACCACCATCGATCATCTTTATACACCAATGGAAAAGAAACGAATTCAAAAACTCGAAACCAAAATCAAATTGAATTTTTTGGGGGAGGAGAAACCAGGCAAGTGTTTTTATAGAGAAAATAGATCTTGAAGTTAAAATGGAAATCGAAAGAGTTGGCGGTGCGAGTCGTCTGCTGCGTTTGTTTCTGCTTCTCTCTTACTACTTAAATAAATGAAATAATTTTTTAATTGATTCAGTTCAGTTTGTTACTTGCATAGGGTAGAGTTAGTGTGGAAGTGGAAAGGAGGTTATAACTGACACTTTCTTATACAGAAATAAAATCAAATAAATCAGCATTGAAACGTGGATGTTACATTTTTTCATCAAAATTTATGTATATTTTATTTGTTTTCTTCAATTTTTTTTGTATGGAAGGTACGGGGGAAGAGCAGATGTAACGGGCAGCAGTTAGATAAATCGAGAGCGCTGAAATCGGAGCTTACGTTTTTTTTCTTTTGAGGGGAGTTCAAAATTTTAACCGTGATGCGAGTTGTAGCTGTACTATTTTTCTTTCCATTTTATCAAGGAAATATTTTTTTATTAATATAGGGGATTATAAGTAGTAATATTTGTCATAATGATTCCTAATAATTTGACGGTGAATGTTCAAATATTATGTAATCGTCCGAACTAGAGATTTCTAGGGATAATAATCATTTCTTCAACCATTGAAATTATAAGTGTTAATACAAATAAAGGAGCAAAATATTGGGTATTGATGGGGGATAAGGGGTATTACGGACAAGTCGGGAATAATACCCTGTTATGCCAAATAATTTCCTGTTATGCCAAATAATTTGGAAAAAAGTTTCATTCTTTAATTAGTTCATTCATTGTTGAGTTAAATATCTTAACAGAGGCAATGAGAATTTGAGAATATATGTATAAGCACACAATTAATCTTTACAATTGACATTCTTGTTGGAAGGTTTAATTTGCTCACAGTTGGGTTTGCCTGATCATCTACAGCTGTCCAGAGCTTATCCTTCTTAGTTGTTTTGGATGCAGGTCTAAGTCTGTGCTACTTTCGGCGAACTAAGTTATCAACAACAGAAAATGTATAAGTATATTCCTTATTATATGAATTATTATGTCATAATATATTGTTATATTTCCAATTAATTACCAGAAGCAGCCTTTTCAAATCTGTGTTCTTCTTGCGGTATTTCTGCACCTCTATTTCTAGCCACTCCACGTAACCCTAATGAAGAAAAAAAATAGATTTTAAACCGGGGTTATGCAAATAATAAATTGATTTTTATGTCATTAAGCTTTTATCAGTGAGAAGCTGGTAGCCTCAGAGTTACCTTCTTTTGTGCAAATGCACGAGCAGCTGCCTCTCTGTTTTTGATTTTATGTAATTCCTTCTTTTCATAAGCTTCCGGAGTACCCTTCTGAATCCTCTTTCTCGTTGTCCACTTCTTGATCGCTTGCTGTTCGTTTTTCAATGTAGGTTTAACGTGCATTGACCAATGACCGGCAGCCACTACAGTGGTACTGTCATGGCTGCCACTAGAACCGCCACCTTCATTTCTGATGACCGAATGCATTCCTTGGTCCTTTTCCTCGTCTAGAATCGACTGCAGTTCGCCGAAATCGATGATTTAGTTGTGGTTCATGGGATTGAAGTCCATGTGGGTTGAGGGAAAGAAGACATTTTCGAAAGCATCGGCGTCTTGTAAAAGTAGTTCAATGTCAAGCTGTTGGGTGTTTTCTCCACAAAATTGATCATCAGTTTTCAATTGTTTCATGGTGTTCAATTATTGGTTAGAGAAGCTTGATCTTAGAGAACAAGTAGACAAGACATAGCTTTCCTGTCTCTCTCTCTCTCTCTCTGATTGTCTTTAAAATTTGAAGATTATTTGACTCACAAGGCGAGGAAACCAGAAGCAATACCTTCACGATTTTTGCATGAATTGTACGATGAGAACTTTTGCTTGAATAACACAAGGCATGGCCCTATGCCACCTATTGTTTATTATTTTTAATTTATATCTTTAAACTTATGATAAAAAATTTAAATTAAGTGGAAACTTTAAACTGATTCAAAAGTTCATGTGTATCTTTTGAAATCGAAAAGAATATTTTTTTTAAAGAAAGGAATACAAATGTTAATGGTAAAATAGGTATTTTAGGTTCTTTCAATTCCAAAATTATACAAATTGATCTTCTTAAAAATAGGATCAATCCAATTATGTTTAATAGAATGAATGATATATGATCAACTTGAAATGAAATAGAATAAAATAGATATTTTAAAGCCACTTCTCAATTGTCACTTAAAATCTGGCATTCCTTCAACTACGTGTTTAAATCAAAACTAACAGTATACCTATTTTGTAAGGGTAAAGAAACCCAATAAACAAGACAAGGTAAAAACTATAACTGTTTTCTAAGTCGGCGTGAGTTTAATGCAGTCCCATATCACTAGGAAGAATGACATACAACAGGTCGGATTGCGGCTTTTAGATCATCGTAAAATCTCTGCTCGGAAAATATACTAGATCTTCGCCTTGCTGCTGCAGCTATCTTTAGTCTTTCAGGCTTGGGCATCTTTACAATTTTCAGGATTGCATCTGCATACTCTTCTATATTTTCAGCAAGAAATCCTGTTTGTTGTCCATCTTCATCTAAAACAATGTCCATTCTGGGGCCGGCAGAATTATGAGCTGAAAAGGGGAGCAAGCAAAATTAGAATATAAAAACAATTTATAAACAGAAAAGCACTTCTAATAGGAAAATACGAAGAAAAAATCAGTTGCCATGAGCGCCCACCAATTGGTATGGCCCCTGCACCCATGTACTCTACAACACTAATGCCAAAATGCTCGTCTATCATCGAGTGGATTCCGGCAACAGCACCCCCCAAAAGTCTTACCAAGTCCCTGCATAGGGTATGAAATCAATGAAGCTAAGGGTTCGAACGCATATAAGCTCCTAGGATATCATAACATCACAATGGGCAATCAAGAGTTTAGCAACCAGAAACATAGCAATTATGCAAATGGATTTAGTCGGTTCTCTGCTGATCATAAATTTTTGGATGATTTTCATTTAGAGGGAAAACCAACCAAACTTTATGTAATTGTCGAAAGGATGTAGCTACATTGGCAGTTCCTCCTACCTATACATCACATTTTTATGGAATTCCACATTGTCCTGAATGTTCAATTGCACTGCTTTGTCTTTCAGATTCTGAAGTCTTTCCTCATCTGATTGATTCCGGCAACTACCTACAAACTGCAGCTTAGGTCTTGGAAAGTCTGCATCTAGTTTTTTTATGGCGACAGAGAAGGCCTCGAGTTGAAGACCATGTGCCTGTGTCAAATGAATCAAACTGTAAAGAGCTGCTAGACCTAATCAAGGTCCAAAACTGAGACACCAGAGCTGTTGAACATTTAGTTTGAAGATTTTATATAAGTATGTGCACCTTCTCTGGACGAAATTGTGCAACAGATATAATTTTTGGAGTTTCCACCGGTCTTTCTAAAGGAAGTGTCTGTTTCAGATGTAAATTGATAAGAAATTACATATAAAAGGCACAAAAAAGATAGAAACATACAAAATGAAGTCAGGATTGTGATGAATGATGAGAAACAGAACCTGAAGTCCTGAAGTATCACAAGGTGGATAAACCCTCTTAGTACGCTTAGGAATTCCCCAAAGCTTCTCGATGTGAGATTGAGTCCATGAAGAGTTGACCATTACAAGATGGGCACAAGAGCCCACCATTCCATACATCCTGCTAAAAACTGTATAATAGATAATTTTGCACCAGGATAGCCACGTGCTGCCAAGGAATGATACTATCAGGATCCAGATAACAAGATCAGAAGCCAGATATACTCTAAGACCCAAGCAAGCAATTAGGCTGCTCTATTAATGAACTACATTATCATGATTTATGCACATCAAGTTTCCACCAGAGTATAAAAATAATGGGAGTTTTAGTTGTCAACCATGAAAATGAATCAAAGAGTGGTATAATAAATCGTTAAAAGTTATTGACCTGGAACAATCGCTAAAAGGAAACACCATACAGTTATCGACAATCAATTCAAATATGGCTTTTAAGTAGTAGTTTAAGAATGTATTCTTAACAAATACAGATTAATGCACCAAATTCGTGCAAAATGTTAAAAGCTTTTTGATATGCAAATCATACTCAACACAAAAAGAAAACTAATATGAAAGAAGAGAATAGGCTTAAACTAGCAATGCAACCAAACAATTCGATCTACTTATCTAAAGCATACAAATTCGTATCACTAAATAAGACTAAGAAGATGATAAAGCGAAACCAAACCTTCTAGCTATTAAGGCATCATTATTGTACATAGAGCTTCGTTGACGAACCCGGGAAATCATGTCTAGACTGATAGTAGGATAATGTGTATAACAGATAACTTTGCACCCAAATAAACGTGCAATTGGGTATGTAAAAGCGTATCCACTCGTATCAAAATAATACAAAGGTGTAAACTTGCTTAAGGCTTCCCAAGATAAATAAACTGATCCCAAGCTTTGACCAATCATTGTGAAATGTGGGTACGTTGTTTCTTCAATCCATTTTCTTTTATTCAAATGCACCACCTGAAAACAACGAAACTTCAAATTAAACCTAAAGAAAATAAGGGTTTTTCGTTCTTTTTCTTTATGCAATTAGAAATGGAATTACTTTAGGGGGATAAAAGAGGTGAACGCCAAAGCGATCGGTGGCCCGTGACATTAAGGATTGAGAGGAGGCATCGTGATCTCCAGAGAAGATAACGGAATCGAGATCTGGATTCTGCTCTTGGATGGCTTTGACGGCGCACCAAAGGACTCTCTCTCCGCCGCCACCATCGTTGGTGTAGGGGTGGAAGAATCCAACGGCTGTTTTCTTGTGTCTACGGCAGTTGAGAATTTGTGAAGCAAATAAAAGAACTATGGCGAGAGGGAGGGTGCTTACAGACCAAAAAAGAATCCAATTTAACATGATCTAAAATCTCTTTTCGTTTCTCTCAATTAGAGACGGGGAGATTTCTTTCTTTCTTTTAAGAGTCCTTCAATCGAGAGCCGAGACAAATGAAAATTTATTTAATCGTACGAACAAATATTTTATGGAATTTATATGAATACAAAAATACTTACATATTTTTCCTCTAAAGTTGATTTAATTGAACGCTAATTCATTTAAAAATTATAAAAAATGATTTATAATATTATTTATATAATAAAATGAAAGTCGCATATGATGTAACGATGAAGTGTTTATTTGCCATCAGTCTCATTCGAGTCATCCCATGAATAATTTTATTCTTGACGAATACCCACAAAAACATACATTTTCTTTGATCTTCACCCATCAGACGAATGAAAACGAAAGGAAAAAAGAACGAAGGCCTCGAAATTGCACCTACAAAGCTACGTGAATCCACTGGCTAGTAAAATATTCCAATCAAACCTGTTATGACTTAATAGCTGCCCATTGGTAGCATGCCATAAGGTGGCATTGGAGGCATTCCAATCCCTCGCATGGGTAGTGGTTAGAGGTACACAAAAAATTCAAATATATGATTTTACGTAAAAAAATATTTGAAACTGAATTTGGGAAAAACTGATTTTTTAAATCGGATCGGATATTTAAAAATCGGATAATATAATCGGTTTGGAAAAAAATTGGACGACCGGTTTTTTTACTTGATTAAAAATCGGTTTGAAAAAAATCAGATAAAAAATCAGTTTTTATCCGAAAAAATCCGGTCTGAAAAATTAGCCGTTTGGGGGGTTTGTGACCGTTTTTTCTTAAAAAATCATCATTTTACCACCTTAAACATGTATAAATAGGTTGGGGATGTATTTGGTTGATTACAACTTTATCAAATCTTATTACACAACACCTAAACATCTCTCAAATCTTATTTTTGTAATTTTTTGTTCAACATGGCTAAAAATACCGGTTCTAACACGGCTGAATCTTCCGTCGGGGGAAACCTTGAAGTCTTGAGAGTGATCGAACACACTCGAAACAAAGATATTTGGGATCACTACGATTTATGTGAGATGTCAAATGGCTCGAGGAGGGCGCGTTGTAAACTTTGTCTAAAGTTTTATGCACCGGAAGGAAACACAACGTTGAAGAACCATTTTACAAAATCATGCAAGGCACTTCACTCAAGATCGGATCCAAGTCAATTGAATCTTACACCGCAAGGTGGTGTTTTTGTTTACGACAACGAAAAATTACGAGAAGCGTTTACAAAGTTCGTGATTACAAAAGCATTGTCGTTCGACCACTTTGATGTTGAAGATTTTACGACAACAATTCAACAATTAATGCTACCACGTTATACTCAAGTAAGTTGTACTACCCTTAGAATATATGCTATAAAAATGTGGCGTACGGCAAGGGAAGAAATGATTTTAGGATTCCAAGAACACTGTTATGGTGTGTCACTTACATGTGACGTTTGGAGTTTTCCTCGTAATACCGGAAATTCTTTTTTGGCCGTTACGGCACATTGGTTAGATTAAGATAATTGACAAATGATGAAAAGAACAATGTGTTTGAATTATTCGGTGAGCCGCATAGCAATGCTAATTTATTTACACTTTTAAAAAGGGTAATTTGTCTTTATAAATTAGAAAATATAATTTTTTATATCATTTTATAATGCATCGAATAATACAAACGCGGCTTCAAGATTGAAAATATTACTTTCATCGATTTTGAACGGTGCGTTTTTTCATACCCGTTGCGTTGCACACATAATTAATTTATCCGTGCAAGCTGGTTTGAAGGTTATTGAGCCGATTAGATTGGAATTTAAAGCAATGATAAAATCGGTTCTTTGTAACAACAACAAAAGACTAAATGATTATAAATGATTTTGTAAGTCGGTTAATAAAAAAACTTTGAGTCCTAATTTGGATTGTCCAACTCGTTGGAACTCAACTTGGATGATGATGCATACTGCCTTAAGGTAAAAGGAAACATTGCAAACATTTTACGATCGACTTTTCGAGATGAGACATGTCCCAAACATTTATCAGGATTCGAGTTGGGAAACTATAGCCAAAATAATCGATTTGCTTGGGGTTTTTAAAAATGCAACAACTTTTTTATCCGGTGTTTATTACCCTACTAGCCCGTTGGTTTTTAATCAAATATTTTTGTTGGCTAACCAACTAAATGACTTTGAAACCGAAGTTTTTCAAGAAATTGGCTTTGCAATGAAGGAAAAACTTTTAAAATATTTTAAGGAGATTCTCTCATTTTTACTTGTGTCGCCGCTTTAAACCCAACGTTAAATGTTGGTGGGGTTGAAACACTAATCGAACAAATTGTGTTTGTTTTTAATCTAACCGATGATGAACTCAACTTTGTCCAAAACCAAATAAATTATTTTAACAAATGTTTTCGAGACATGTTTGCAATTTATTTAATTAAACACGAATCAAGTAGTGTAATACATGATCAACTGAGAACGAATGCGGAATCATCTAGTAGACGTCCAAGTAACATAAATATGTCACTTTTTAACACTCTAGTAAATTATCAATCCAAACGATCACGTACTATCACTCCAAGTAGCGAGTTGGGAAATTACATGTCATGCGATTTTATATCAAAAAATGACATTTGAAGAGTTTGAAAGTTTGGATATTTTGACTTGGTGGAAAGAAAAGGAAGCACAATTTCCGATTCTAGTCGTCATGTCCCGTGATTTACTAACCGTCCAAGCTTCTACGGTAGCTTCAGAATCCGCTTTTTCTGTTAGTAGCAGGGTTATATCGCAACGGAGATCAAGACTAAGTCCCGAGTCGGTGGAAGTATGCATTTGTTTGAAGGATTATTTAGATGGAGCAGCTCGGAAGCAACATATCACCACCCTAGAATATGCAATTGATGTCGATTTGGAAGCAAACTTACACATTGAAGAAGTATAACTTAGAATATCCCCTCCAAACGAAAAAGGCGAAGATGATGAAAAAGAGATGGCGATGTAGTTTATTTTTAAACTTTGTTTCAATTATCGTAAATTTTGTTTCAATTATCGAACTTGGAAGTTTTTAAGTATTTGAATTTATCGAACTTGGAAGTATTAAGTATTTCAATCATCGTAAACTTTACTGCAATTGATGACAATGTAATTTTAACATTGTAATATTTAAGTATTGTAATTTATCGTTGATGAGTGTTTTGTGTATATGCTCTTCACATGCATAAAATGTTTATAAATACAGCACCACCGATTATTTTATATCCGGTTTTTTTATATCTGGTTTTTTTCAAACCGAAACCGGTTACATCATCCGGCCCTCCAAACCGTTTAGGATCCGAATCGATTTTTTAAAAATTCGGTTTTTTGGCTAGGTAAAAAAAACCGGATCGATTTTTATCCGATCCGAATCGGTTTTTTATCCGATCCGGATCGGTTTTTTATCCGATCCGGATCGATTTTTTATCTGACTTTGTGCATGTCTAGTGGTGGTGGAGCAAAACCTCCTCCCATGCCTTGCATCGGTGGTGCAGGCAAGGCAAGAGGTAGCAACTGAGCATACATGTTCTGCAAAAAAATAGGTAAAGAATAATTTTCCAGAAAACATGACGATATTTCGTCCAAAGCTTTAATACCTGTTGCGCAATCACGTCCTTCTCTTCCTGCTCTTTTGCCTTTACTTCCTTTTGAACCTCGATCTTGTCCTTGATAAGTTCATCAACTTTGCCAGTGTATTCACGGATAAACTGAAAATATTGTCAAATGAGGTTCCAACATTATATCTCTAAATTAAGAAAAATCTTGAAACCAAAAAGTAAAAAGAAAAAGGTCTAACTCATCAACCCCGGTCAAATGATCATACTATAGAAAAAAGCAGTAAAGAAATTACCTGCAACAGATACGGGAATGCAAAGTCAATCATATTGTTTATCCAGGCAAGCTCAAGAGCAACATCTGGTCGAACTACGTCATAACAGACAAAAAGGATGATGGTACATGGAAAATTAACAGTGAAATCATATCCATATCAAAATTAACCAGCATTACTGTGACAGTACAAGAAGAAATAAAAGACCATAATACAAAACATGAGTGCATTAAAAGCTTCTGCTCTGTTTAATTTAAGACACATTTTATAATTTTTCATTTTCTGTTCTGTTTTAAAAAAATAGTTTTCATGTCCAATTTTCTAACTTATTAGCAATGTATTTGGTTAACGTCTGACTAACATTATGGGAGGCGTTTAGTATTATGTTTTGTTTTGAAATGTAAAACTGTAAATGGGTCTATTCTTCATGGGTCCACCCATTTGATGATGATAAAAATATATATTCCAATGAGACCATGTGGACTTTAACAAAGAAAAAAACCATGCTGTTATAAAGCGTTTTATATTTGTTTGCAGTAGGTTTCGAACTTGGATGGAATAAGTTCCATCAGCAGAGTTGACCACATCTGTGTTTTCTTATATTCTCTGTTCTTTTTTTCTTTTTTTTGGAAATGTGGAAAAACACCTTTCTCCCCCTTTTCAAAATTCTGTATGCATATCTAGAAAGTGTCGAGTACCTGCTCAATGAAGTAAACAAGCAACTCCTCGGCAAGTTCACGTTCACCAGACTGTGAAGCTGTTTCCATTGCATCTCTGTAATGGTTGTCCTTCTTTGACAAGGCAATTGACTGCTTCCATCTGCCTGCCTTTTTGTAAATGTATGCAGCAACACGCCTCATTTCAAGCAGCTCATGTTTCTCAATCTAATCAAGTGATTTGGAGTCGATGTCAGAATCCGAACTTACAGCAAACAAAAATGTAAGAACTATACTTCACCTTTTGTGCAAGGCCAATCTGATCAAAATTATCATGCAAGTCAATAGATTCTCTCAACCTATCATAATCCTCTTCCTCGAAATAAATCTCATTCAATGCATCATTTACTGCTGACACATTGTTGCTCTGAACAGCAACCATCACAAGGCCCAGATGACCAGCCTGAAATTAAAGAAGGAAACAATAATCAACGTCAAGAAAATTAAAACGATACTAAAGGAAGTAGTATTTATATCAATATTATG